AAGCTTGGTGCTATGGTAAACATGAGCATGGCAGAGGCCAAGGCCAAGTATGGCAGCAACTTGCGGATCGCGTCGCTGGGGGCCATTAAGAAAGCCGATGATTCCTTCCGAGTCACACATGATGGCACCCACGGCACAGGTGTCAATGGTCGCATCAAGGTGCGCGACCAGTTGGTTTGTCCCACTGCAGGTGACATGCGCCAAGCATGCCGTGAGCTAGAGCCCACCTTTGCGTTGACCACGGACATCAGACGTGCGCACAGACTCCTCAAAGTCAAAGAGGAGCAGTGGGGCCTGCAGGCATGCCGGGTGTCTTCCTCTTCGGACGAGGTCTGGGTCAACGCTGTTGGAACTTTTGGTATCTCTAGTGTCGCTGTGCATTGGTCCAGACTCATGGGAGGGCGCTGTCTTTTATCTATTACGTCAGATCGCCGTTTTCATCTTGACGTACGTGGATGACAACTTGTGGCTGGCGCGTGGCAGCGTGGCCGTTGAGGCAATCGCCGCTGCGCTGCTCTTTCTCTGCGCTTTGGGGCTACCTATCGCGTGGCGAAAATGCCACGGCGGGTTAAGTGTCGGTTGGGTTGGATACCACCTGGATATCCAAAAGAAGCTGCTCGGTATTGGTGCGAATAAAGCGCGTTGGCTAATCAATTGGATTGGAAAGGCACTCCAGGATGACTATGTCGTGTTGGCAGAGGTCAGCTCTGTGTTGGGACGCTTTTCTTTTGCCTTTGCAGCGCTGGAGCCTTTACGACCGTTCCTGGGGCCTTTGTACGCATGGACCTCCGCGGTCAAGGAGCGTGCTGCAAGATTGAAGCGTCCCAAAGCAGTGCGGCTTGTCCTGTCGTTCTTGCTGAAGATGCTTGAAGACGGAGGCAACTTGCAGCGAGTGGGCGTGAAGCATCAAGTGTGCCGTGAGGTTTTCCGCACAGACGCTTGTGCTGAAGGAGAAGATATTTTCATCGGCGGTTGGGCCGTCGCCGACTCAGAAGCAACTGAAGGTTGCCGCTGGTTCAGCGAGAAGCTAACCAGGTTTAATGCGCCGTGGGCCTTTCTAGCCGGCGACGAGCCCTTCCGGGCTATAGCTTCTCTGGAATTGTTGGCAACTTTGGCAGCAGTAGTTTGCTTCGGATTGAGCCAGTCAGCAGGAAGTCCACTAAGCGGCAGCGTGGTGTGCTCAGCTTCGACTGACAACTTGGGCAATTCGTGCGTCATGAAACGTCTCCTGACGACGCGTTTCCCACTGATGGCTTTCGTGATGGAGCTGGCAGCTTTACTGCTGCGCGACAGTGCAGAACTGCGCCTCGATTGGTGCCCGCGTCTCCAGAATCGTGAAGCTGACGCCCTAACGAACGAAGACTTCCGGGGGTTCGCTGCAGAGCGTCGAGTCCGGTTTTGCTTCGACGACTACGAGGGAATCGTGCTTCAAGATATGCTGGAGAAGGGGGCAGAGTTATTCGAGGACATTCGGCTCGCGAGGGCTAAGAAGGAGACGCGTGAGAAAAGGGCAAGACGTGCAGAGCCACTGAAGAACCGAGATCCATGGCAGTGAACCCAAGGGTTTTGTGCGTTGTCCGGAGATGGCAGCTCGCGATGAGAGCACGGGTCGCCTTGCGGGTGGGAGGGTTGCGTTCGCCCGTGCTTTGATGTGCGGTTTGCGAGTTTGGCATAAGTGTATGCCTTGTGTGTGTCGGGTTCAGCATATGTTATGCTGCGCGTTGACACTTGGTATTCCCATTCGCGAAGAAAAGTGCTCCTGCATTGCTGTGTATTTCATGTTCTTACAATAATGACTCCCTGTCCGACTGACATGTCCCGTGGAGTGGACCGCGTCCATCGTAAGGGGACTTGTCTGTCTGCAGGGTGTGTTCGTTGGCGCAGGTCTTGCGGGCAGGGTTGCGTGCGCGTGATGCTCATGTCATGTGCTCGTTGAAGCCATTTGCCATCTGCTTGTGTTGCTGCTCGTCTGCAACTTTCGAGAAGCAGTGCAGTGTTGCAAGTGGCTTGCATTCTCGCGTGTCCCGCCCGGCCCGCCCTCTCGACACGGGGGAGGGTTGCGTTCGCCCGTGCTTTGATGTGCGGTTTGCGAGTTTGGCATAAGTGTATGCCTTGTGTGTGTCGGGTTCAGCATATGTTATGCTGCGCGTTGACACTTGGTATTCCCATTCACGAAGAAAAGTGCTCCTGCATTGCTGTGTATTTCATGTTCTTACAATAATGACTCCCTGTCCGACTGACATGTCCCAGACGACCTGACCGGACTTCCCACTCCAGCTTTCGGTTTAGGCCTCTTCCCCGCAACTCCGTCGGCAAGCTTTGTGGCACAGCCCGCCCCTCGAGGCGCGTTGGAGCTCGTGCTCGGCTTGCGTCAATAGACGACCTGACCAGACATCCCATTCTCGGGTTTGGTTTAGAGTCCTCACCCAGGCCCAGTTCAACCTCCTGCTTACGACACTCGTGCCTTACTGCCGCATCGGGGAAGCCCAAAACCCAGGTCCTCGTTGGCAGTCGCATGCAGAGCGACAGTGTGTTCGCACTGTCCCCGCTCGAAGCCCAGCACTCATTTTGGCCACCACTTCGGCTCTCGGCGCTCGTTGTTGGTGGTCGTCTTTCTTGTCCTGGTGCTCGAGTCGTCTCTCTTTCGACTTTAGGTCTGTCTTCTTCCGCAGCCCCCACCTTTTAGCCGCAGCCATAGGGTCGATATACATCTTGCGACATACGCTGCTGGCTGCGCAACGTAAGTGCAGCACGCTGAAGCCGGTGTCTGGAACATGCTGGGAGTTGATTTCGAGGTGGGAAAAAGCTGAGCCGCCCCACACAGGGTCCCTACTCCTGAGCCTGTGCTGTGAGCGCTTGCCGCTCTTAGCTTTTTGGCTGGTTTCGAGCAGTTTGCTGGAATTTGGTGCTCGCCTTCCATGGTCTGGCGCGAGTTGGAGAAGTGTTGCAATGTTGCCGTGAAGATCTGTTGTTGCCTGGTGACGACCTTTGGGCTACTGCCAAGCACGCTTTCCTCAGGCTGCGACGCTCAAAGACATCTGGGCGGGGCAGACCGAAGATACAGCACTTGCAGATCACGGATGCGGCCGCCATAGCCCTCCTAGAGGTGATCTATGGAGGCAAGGAGGCAAGCTACCCGCTTTATCTCAAAAGCCCCTCCGCAATCAGATACCGCTGGAACATCTTCCTCAAGCGCCTTTCGATTGAGCCCACCTCTCCCCCGGTGGGCTCCGAGGCGGAGGAGCTGTCGAAGCCTATCGCCAAGGCCTCGGCATCAGTGAACCGCAGTTTCGGATGAGACTCAAAAACCAACATACCCTGGAGTATTATGAGCTGGCCGCGGTCAGAGCCCTCGGCTCGCTTGGGGCTGCGTCCAGGAGGGTGAAGATGGCCGCCGACCTCTACCCCTTTCTTTCTTCACAACGTAAACGTGGTGCTTAGTCCGAGACCAGCTCTGCTTTCCTGCGGCTTTACGTGCGCGTTCTCGGGCGCGCTTAGCTCTCGCCAAGCTGGCCCCTTGAGGTATGGTGGAAGTTTGGAGTTACAGCTGCTTGGGCGGCCACTTTTGGCGCAGCTTTTGAAGTACCAACTTGTTTTCCAGGGGAAAGCGTCGAGCTGACTCCGTTCCCCCGACCTACACTTACTTCATGCGAAGCAGGAGCTACAGTGCATGCATATGTCTCGTGGTGTTTTGCTTGCTTGCCCTGGCTTGGTCAAATGCCCATGAAGTATGAAGCCATCTTTCCAGCTTCGGGTTTTTGATCCATGATGCGTCCGCTAGCCCTGATCTCAGCCAGGCATAGAGCCTTCCTGGCGCTCCTGTTTTGGGGACGGACGAAGGTGGGCCTTGCAGAGCTCACAGAAGGTAGTACGACGCTGGAATGTAGAATAGGGATCATAGAATCGTGCAGCGTTGTCACGTAAGATCGGCAAGGCAGCTGCTCCGGATGCTGAGTCTAACGTCGTACAGCCGCCTTCATGTGGGGGTCTTCGAAAATGCGGGACCCCGAATATCGACACAAATAGAAATGTTTTCCCGTATAGCCCCAATAAAGTACCCCATGTGGCAGGGAATTCATGCGGCTTTCACGTTTACTTGCTCTCTAGCTTTGTTGTTATTATCGCACGGCTTATGTAACTTCTGCGCCGTGCGCTCATGCATTCATTTCGCGAGGTAAATTCATGCGGCAGCACATTTCTTATAGTTTGACGTCTATTGGGCTTGCAAGATTTCAAGGGTCAAGAATCCAGGGTGCAACGGCCAGCGGCTTGGCGGAAAAAGCAGCATATTCGACCTGGAAGTCAAGGAATGTCCACTGGCGGTATATGCACATACAGCCACATACACAAATTAACATCGATCCAGTCCTCGCGCTGCACATGAAAACGCCATCCTGCATGCCAGCTGTACATCAAACAAAAATTGGGTCAGGTTCCTAAACTATGGTCGCCTTTTTCGGTACCCCTAAATAAGAGGGGCTGCCTTGTAATCAGGACCCCAAAACAAACCACATTTTCGGGAAGCGACCATATCAAAGTAGCAAAAGAAAGAGCACAGTGATGCTGATCCTTGAAACACTCGCAAAAATAGCAAACGTTCTTCGTACAACGGTGCGATCAGCAAGCTTAATCAGCCGCCCCGGCAAAAGTACAGTGCAGCAGCAGTAGCAGTCGCAGAGACAGCAAATGAGCACCGTGTTGTGCGACATATGTGCTTTTGTTTTGCCTGGGATTGCTTTCTCGTTTTCACTGGGTGGGACCTTTGCACTTGGCATGTAAACTACACATGAGCAAGCCTGGGTGTGGAGACAGGTGATGAAGCGTGCATAGGCATGGAGACGCAACAGGGACGTTTCGGTTGCCTGTGCCAGATTGGGCCAGGACTTTTGCACTAGGCACGGCACAGGGTTTTCTAGCTGAAATGTAGTGTTGCACGGGCACACTCTTTCAGTGCTACCAGCACATCAGTCTAGAACCGAGGCTCAAGCGCAAGATTTTACATGGCACAGCGCGCCCCGGGCCCATGCCGCACAATGCTGCGGTTTGCATGGCTTCTACTTGTGAGAGCAAGTAATGCAAAGGAATGGAATGAATTGAATGACTGGATCGCATGGACGGGACCGGACCCCCAGGGCTCTGCAGGAAGCGCCGGATGGCAAGCAGTCCCGGGAGGGGATCTCTTTGATGTTCTGGATTGGGAGGTGGCGGGCGCGGCGAGCGCCTACCGCTACTTCTATCCGGGCGCCACGCACTACACGCTGGGAGAACCAGGCGCCGGAAAGCTGGTTGTGAACGTTTGGCAGCCCTTCTCGGAGAACAAGGCCGACTGTGCTGTGGGGGCGAACTTGCGCGCTGCACTCTTCGGCCTTTACCGAAGCCACCTTGACCGGATCGTGGTCAACGTTTCGAACGTTGGCTGGTCGGGCATCGTGACGGACCCTCTTTGCGAAGACGGGGCCGTTTGTCCCATTGCGCTGTTGATCGGCACGAGCCAAGTTCCGCAGATTCTCGGCCTTGGCTACGAGAAAGGTAAGGTGAGTTATGTGCACTCATATCCAGTCGTAGGGTGTCCACCTGATACTTTCATAGTTCCCTGCATCCTGAACCCTACACCCTAAACTCCCTAAACCCTAAACCCTGAACTAGTAGGTTGCAAAGACGGGCTTCTGAGGCGGGTTGCAGCTGACCGAGTTCTTGCTCTTGACGGGTACTTTGCCACCTACCTGGTGCAACACCTGCAGCGCCTGCCGGATGAGTTTCAAAGCCTCATGTACTATGACTATCAGCTATTAGGCTCTCGATTCATGGGTGTTCCTTTCGCAACTGACGTGCGACTGTTGGGCTTCAACGTTACGACGTTCCTTGCCCTGGGACTGGAGCTTCCGCCGCCGTATGGGCGATCGGACTGGACCTGGGAGAACCTGCGCGACACGGCGTGTGCTCTATTCGCGCACAGGATTTTTTTTTTTGCGTGTGTCACTTTCGTGGGATGGGGGGGGGTGGGGATGGGGGGGGGGGGGGGTGGGGATGTGGGGGGGGGGCGCGGGGATGGGGGGTTGGGGATGGGGGGATGGGGCGGGGGCATGTCACGCGTTTTGTTTAATTATCATTTCGGGGTTGCAAGGATGCTTTGCAAGCTTTGAACATGGCTGCAGTGCTTCGTAAAGCCAGGTGCCATCACAGAGAAACACGGCGTTGCAGGCCCGGACCTTATGGTCTTCAGCTGCCGTTCTGTTTAGGGTTTAGGGTTTAGGGTTTAGGGTTTAGGGTTTAGGGTTTAGGGTTTAGGGTTAGGGGGTTTGGGGTTTAGGGTTTAGGGTGTGCCCTCTTGTCTCCGAAGCAAACCTGCGCAGGTCTTGTGGCCAACTCAGATTGGGACGAAGACGGGAAGCTATTCATGTTACTTGCTTGCCATTACCGGGAACCATAGGGAACCTAAATGAAGTTAGGCCACCATATATGACAAGGAAACTCCTCTATTTACTAGGCGATATGTTCGTACTATGGTGTACTACATTGCGCAACGTTGTGCAATCTCGCATAATACCGCATAAGACATGATAAGGCGAAGTAATACAAGACAAGTTGATAGCACAAGACATACTATAGCAAACATACATGTCATACGATAATTCCATATTCCGGTACCTTAAGGGGGCAGCTCGCAAACGCATCGAAGAACAGCCGGCAAAGACCCTAAACCCTAAACCTCAAACCCTAAACCCTAAACCCGAAACCCAAAACCCTGAACCCTTAACCCTAAACCCTAAACCCTGAACCAAGAGCCGAGGCTGATGGTCCAGGCGGCTCACGGCGCGCTCTTCCGCACGGAGCTGGGAAGCCAGGGCTTGTCGCGGCAGTGCAACCTGGGGATGGGAAACAAGGCGCTGGAGAAGGGTTTGGCTTTTAGGGCTGTTGGGGGTTTTTGGGTTTTTAGGGTTTTTAGGGCTTTTGGGGCGTTTTAAGGGGGGTTTTTCGGGTTCTTAGGGTTTTTAGGGTTTGGGTTTTTCGGGCTTTCCTGGCTTTTGGGGTTTTCAGGGTTTTGAGGGTTTTCAGGGTTTGGGAAACAAGGCCCTGGAGACTTTCTGGAAGCCCATGATCTCCCGCGGCTGCTTGAAGGCCTCCGGGAATCGGAACTACTGGGGTATCGACAACGGGACTCTTGAGACTGCTGAGCTGAGAAAGGTGTTGGAGGATGCTGTGAACCCACGCCATCCGCCCGATGTCTCTGGCTTCTCGAACTACAAGTATGTGCCAGAGTCTGGGACCTTTGGCCTTTTCATCACACCTGGGCTTGACGACGAGCTCTCCTTCGGAAGGTGCCGGCCGCATGCCGCCTTTCCGATGGCCGTGAAGCCACGCAGGGCACGGAACTGCACGGTGCTCGAGACGATCGAGACAGAGACCAAGGAGGCGGACGCGGATGTGGCGGATGCGGATGTGGCGGATGCGGCGGATGCGGACGGGGTCTCCGAGGTTGGCCTCGCCGCGTGCCGGCAGCGGGCCCTCCGGTCGGGTGCGAACACCGTGGCCGTGGACGCCGGGCGCTGCGAGCTGCTGCGCTGCAACCCCGCGGCCGCCGTGGCCTTAGCCGCCTTACACGAGCACGAGAGGGAGGTCTTCTCCAAGCACTGCAGCGAGATTCGCTATGCAACCATGCCGGAGAACCTCACGTACCAGGGGGGAAGCGGCTTGGTGATCCCAAAGCCGCGGGGCACCCGGGAGTGCTCCAATGTCTCCAGCGACTGGCTCCAGAAGGGTGAGGATCCCCCGGCATGTTGGGAGCACTCCGAGGGGTGGCGCCTGATCTCGGAGCTCATCGACCCCAAGAAGCCCTACATGCGCCAGGCCAACACCCAGAAGCACATCAGGACCCTGCCGCCCTTGAAGGACCTATCTGCCTTCGACACGCACTTCTGGGAGCCGGTGGCGACGGCTCTGTCACAGGGGATTCCGAGCCAATATCCCAACTCCCCGATCCCTCAGTACGCCGAAATCGAGCCGCGGGCCGAGTTGCTTTTGCGGAGCACGTGACAGCAACAGCAAGATCTCAGAGCCTCGCAGTGTGATCTCGACCCTGGTGTTTGGGGAGTTTGGGCGGGGGAGGGGGGGGGGAAAGGTCTCGGCTGTACTCTTCGTTTCTGGTTCGCGCGAGGGGCATAGGCGGCATAGGGGTTTGGAGTTAGGGCTCTAAACCCTAAACCCTAAACCCTAAACCCTAAACCTTAAACCCTAAACCCTAAACCCTAAACCCTAAACCCTAAACCCTCCTAGCCCTAAGCCTTTAAGCCCTAAACCCTAAACCCTAAACTTTAAAGAGTTTAGGGTTTGAGGTACTTGAAGCCGATCCGGATGGCCCTGCTGCGCAGCATCTACGGCAACATCACGGCCGAGGAATCCCTCCAGGACGACTATTTGCTTAATAAAATCGGTTTAGGGTTTAGGGTTGAGGGTTGAGGGTTTCGGGTAATCGTCCCTATATTACCCTTATAATGAATAATATCTTTATTTCTTGTGGGGTTCTTAAGCAATTAGTAGAGGAGGCATGCGACGTTGTGGACGAGATCCTCCGTCCCTGCAGCTGGGTTGCCGTAATAGAGGGGCCTTAATGAGTAGAATAGGGTTTGGGGTATTGCAGTGGAGCTATATAGGGACCAGCAGGGAATAACTATCAGTAGCTATTCCGACCCATGCAGTAAGGAGATTCAGCTACCTTGCTATGGATTGCCAATAGGTCCTTTATGGTAGAGAGTGTGCATTCCTTCGTTTGTTGCCCTAGACCCCAAACCCTAAACCCTAAACCCTAAACCCTAAACCCTAAACCCTAAACCCTCAACCCTCAACCCTAAGCCCTGAACCCTAAAGCCTAAACCCCAAACCCCAAACCCCAAACCCCAAACCCCAAACCCTAAACCCTAAACCCGAAACCCTAAACCCTAAGCCCTAAACCCTGTGCCCCCCCCCAACGCATCCCAGGCAACCAGTCACGGTGGGAGTTGGACCCGCGATGCAGGAACCCCCAAGACGGCCTACAGGGCTGTCCGCCCGGCACCTTCTACAAGAACCCCCAAGATGCCACTCTTCCCTTTAAGAAATTTCAAGTTTAGGGTTTAGGGTTTAGGGTTTAGGGTTTGGGGTTTAGGGTTTAGGGTTTGGGGTTTTCGGTTTGGGCTGTGGGGTTTAGGGCTTAGGCAGCGCTTTGTTGGTTTGTCTCTTTCATGAGCGCATCTGTTCAGGATTTCAGGATTTAGGGGGGGTTTGTGGCCGCCTCTTTACGTGTTCGAACTTGGGATGTTCCCCCTTATGTTCCCCCTTGTAAGTCCTTAATAGGGATTATAATAAGGGGTACGAGAACGGTCTGAATGTGTAATCTGGCCCGAGCGCACCTCAGGCGTCGCAGGATTTCGGCCTGGGCTGCACTGAGTGTCCTCCTGGGCGCTACGCGGACGAGCGCTCCGTGGATCTGGAGTGCAAGCCCTGTGCCTGGGGGTCAAACTCTGGGCCCTTTCTCCATAACAAGCCAACAAAACCCAGTAGGCATAGAATCTCCGTCTTGTCAGAGTCCCCCACCCCCCAACCCCCCAAAGAAAACACCTTTGAACCCCCAGGTGCTGCTGGTCTCTTCTCGAACGTCACTGGGAGCAAGTCTTGCCAGCAGTGCGCTGCGGGTTTGGTGGCGCAGCAAACAGGACAACAAACCCTGGTAGCTTGCTAGAAGACCCAGAGCCCGGCGGTAACACCGCAAAAGGCCTAGTAAAGAAACACCCCCCCAAAAAGGGGAGTCGCCGCCCCCCAGCTTCTTGAGAGGACTCTCTGAATGCGCAGAATGCCAAATGGGACGAGCACCTCGACACACGTCCTACTGCGATCCCTGCCCTGTCGCTACATATCAAGATGGCCCATTCTGCGTGTCCTGTCCGAGCGGGTTCACCTCCACGGAGGAAAGCACCAGCTTCAAATCATGCACCCGCAAGCCATCGGTCGTCTTCTACAACGTCCTCTTGGTCTTCGTCATCGTTTCTATTGCCCTGCTCTTTCCCCTTTTGCTAGGACGTCCGATTCCGATAGATGACATTCACATGGAAGATGGCTACGTGGTGGTGAAGACCTGGGGGAGCCACCGCATGCTCAAATGGTCGCCGCTTCCCCTCAGAGTCCGGTTGCAAAACACGCAACACCCCAAGGTCCGAGCTCTAAAGAGGCTTTCCAGGGCCAAGGGTTCTAGGGTTTAGGGTTTAGGGTTTAGGGTTTAGGGTTTAGGGTTTAGGGTTTAGGGTTAAGGGTTTAGGGTTTAGGGATGTTCCGGGTCGCAGGTCAAAGAGAAGCAGACGTTTCTAGCGCGGGTCCGGGAACCTGATGAGATCTGGTTGTGGCTTGGAGGCAATGGGGCTGCCAGGTGCCCTTTTAGGGGGGATTCTTGGGCCTTCTGGTACGTGGGCATTGGGTTTACGGTTTCGGGTTTAGGAGGTATTCAAGAAGAGCTTCTGAGGCTGGACTGCAAAGGAGAGCACATCACCGAGAACATCAACTGCTCTCGTGGCAGCTTGCGCCTACTTCCAAGGTCAGGGTTTAGGGAAGCCGCGCTTGTTGAGGGTTTAGGGAAGCCGCGCTTTTGTTCCTTTTGGGTGATGTTGGATGATGCTGAACATGTGGGTAGTTCTCTAAACTAGGGGTGTCCTTTTTCTAGAATACCGGACCCTTAGTATAGTCCCCCAAAAGTAGGATTCCCTTTACACTGAGGACCCCAATATGGCACCTCTAATTTCGGAAGCCCCTGTATAGTACGGCACCTCTGAAAACATCAATCTGGCAGAACTACTTGACTTACTAACCCTAATGATCATTTTACTTGTAACCTAACTAAAACATGTTAGGGCACTGATGAGGGCTTATCCTGGGTTGTAAGTGCAGTTTTGGCTGGGTTATACCCTACACCCTAAACCATAAACCCAAAACCCAAAACCCCAAAGGCTAAGCCCTAGACCCCGAACCATAAACCCTTGCTCCTCCAAGTACCCATCTCCTGCTAGGAGCGCCTTCTTCGGATCGTCGATCGGGAGGCTTCCCGTGAGCCTTGTGGCCACCGGGCTCCTAGTCGGCTTGAAACAGTCCAAAGCGTGTTTACAACGCAGAAAGGTGACGTGAAGCAGGGTCAATGTAGACCTAATTGTATCCTTAGGCGAAATCAGTATTTGCCCTACACCCGAAACAAGGAACCCTAAACCCTAAACCCTAAACCCTAAACCCTAAACCCTAAACCCTAAACCCTAAACCCTAAACCCTAAACCCTAAACCCTAAACCCTAAACCCTAAACCCTAAACCCTAAACCTAAACCCTAAACCCTAAACCCTAACCCTAAACCCTAAACCCTAAACCCTAAACCCTAAACCCTAAACCCTAAACCCTAAACCCTAAACCCTAAACCCGAAACCCTAAACCCTAAACCCTAAACCCTAAACCCTTATTGGGGTCTAAGAGGATCATGCTTCGGAGTACTCTTTTGCCAAGGGCTTTTCAAGGGCCCCTCTGAGGCTCTGTGCCTGCCTTGCCGTGCTCTGCTGGCTCCTTGCCGAGAATGCCGAGGCGGAGGTGCAGGGGACCCTAAACCCTAAACCCTAAACCCTAAACCCTAAACCCTAAACCCTAAACCCTAAACCCTCAACCCTAAACCCTAAACCCTAAACCCCAAACCCTAAACCCTATGCCCTCTAAGCCCCCTAAGCTCCCTCAACCCCCTAGACAACCCTTAACCCTACACCCTACACCCTAAACCGAGGTGCAGGTGATGCCCTACCTGCTGGTTGGCCTCTGCGTGATTGTCAGCTTCTTCGTGGTAGAGCAGGTAACATAGGGGTCGGAAGGTCCCTTCATAGGGTTTAGGGATTAGGGTTTAGGGTTTTAGATTATACTGTAGTATCCCTAAAGCCCTATCTTAATCATCACGGCCGCTACAGTCACGTTTAAACCTTTTTGAGGCATTTTGCGCCCCTTTCGAATCCCAAAGGTCAACCGTTTAGTTCCTTAAGGATACTGGGAAGGAAACCCTAGACCCCCCTAAACCCTAAACCCGGAACCAAAACCTTAAACCCTAAACCCTAAACCCTAAACCCTAAACCCTCAACCCTAAACCCTAAACCCTAAACCCTAAACCCTAAACCCTAAACCCTAAACCGAGGCTTGGCCTTGTTCGCCTTCTGGTACTGGTGGCGCCAGAGCTTCGTAACACCGCTGGCCCGCAAGCGAGCACACTGGCGCCAGAAATTGTGGCTCGGCCACTGTCAAGATAATCTCTTGAGGGTTCAGGGTTTACATTTTGGGGTTGGGGTTTAGGGTTTAGGGTTTAGGGTTTAGGGTTTAGGGTTTAGGGTTTAGGGTTTAGGGTTTGGGATTTAGGGTTTAGGGTTTAGGGTTTTTTAGGGTTTAGGGTTTAGGGTTTAATCAGGGTTCAGCGTTTAGGGTTCAGGGTGGGCTCGCGACTGCAAGGCTTCGACGCCACAGCGCGGGGACCTGCGAACGCGGGCCCGGTAGGGCCATTTCCGTCGGGAAGCTCTTCGAGTTCCACGTCTATTTCCAAGATGCCATATGCAAGCGCGATATGCCTCTCGGACGGTTCTGAGCTACGCAGATGTTAGGTGTTCGTGAGGGGTCCAGTCTTGGGCAAACGGACCCCCCTCCTATATTTAGGGTCTTGGATACGAGGCACGAATAGGCAACACATTCGCCACCTGTGAGCTATTGCCCCTGTAGACCTGTGTTGCGCCCAAAATTCTAAACCCTAAACTCCAAAATCCCGAGGCCGACGTCTCCGAAGCCCCCTAAAATCTTAGGCCCCCCCGAACCTTAAACCCTAAACCCTAAACCCTAAACCCTCAAAAAAGCTGAGGAATTACGTTGTGTCCAACTTGCTGCTGCCCCTTACGAAGCCGGAAAAGCTGTCCTACGCAGAGCTGGCGGGACCCAGTCAAGTTCAGTGGCCCCCCGTCAGCTGCGTTGAGGGGAGTTTTTCTCCAGATTTTAGGGTTTAGGGTTTAGGGTTTAGGGTTTGGGGTTTAGGGTTTGGGGTTTGGGGTTTCAGGGGGAACTTTTTTTGGGGTTCCTAGAATGCGGCTATGTCGTGGACAGTGGAGCTGACAACATCCGAATGTAGATTCCCAAAACCCTATACCCTCGACCCAGCACGGGCTCGTCGTGGCTCTCCTACACATAAACATACGCGTCAACATCTGCGACAGCGAATCCACGCGCACGTAGGCTTGACCTAGTCTGCGGAAATACGATGAGACATATGGTGAGTTCTCTAAGTCATGGTCTAAATTCTTAGATTACTAGCCGCTTCAGAATAGTAACTCCGAAAGGGGCCCTAGTGTAGAGAAGTGACCATATCCTTTGAAAATCTCAAAGACCTCATGGAAGTAGACTCTCCTAGGTATCATTCAAGCCCCCAGTTTTAGACATTGGCAATTTGGGAGCTTTCCCAACGGACAGACTGTTGCAAGCATGCCCCTTCCCCTGCTTTCTTGCAATTACCTGCCTTCGAAGAAAATCTTTTTTGCACGCCGATAAAGAAAGCAGCTGACAACATTCTGTGGGGTTCAGAGGTCAAAGAACCGTCTTATGCGTTCCATATGGTGGACATCAAAAAACGCACTTTGGGCAGCCGGGTGAAAATAGTGTCCTTCGAGGGACATATTTGTGGGTTCAGGGTTTAGGGTTTCAGGTTTAGGGTTTAGGGTTTAGGGACTTGACAGGACGCACGGCAATCAGGAAGGCTTTTCTTTTCTCCAGATCCGGAGGCGCCCCCTTACATGTGTGCGTCTTGCGTTTGTTCCTGTCGTGTGTTTTCTTGTGCTCTGTCCTAGGGAAAAGCATATTGGATTGGAAAATGTGTGTGAGTGTGCGCGTTTTCTGTGCATTTTACGGTCAGAACTCAACAAACAAAAAGAAACGCACAAACAACACAAAATGCCAAACACACAAAAGACAAGAATCTGGCCGCTAAATATTCCTCTGGTGCCCGGACAGTGGTTTGGTGTTTTGCTGGTGTGGGATCTTCTGAAGGACATGCGTGCAGGAAGGTGCTTTCACATAGAAACTGTGCGTTCTGTACCTTTTACAGGCGAAACAAGACACAAACACACGCAGACACACAGACAAAGAAACAAACAGGAAAACCCAAGAACCACCAAATAACCAAGCACCCAAAAAGGAAATGGCACCTATCCGTAAGCGTATGTGAAAAGTCTGTTTTCCTTGTCAACCTACGTGACCTACGTATACCATCAGCCGGCAACTTGACATTCATTACAGACATTGCAGAGCTCTCCTTTATTGTCTTCCCACATTTCCGGTCTTTCAAGAACTATACTGTATTTGACATCCAGTTGTGGGGTTTAGGGTTTAGGGTTTGGGGTTTGGGGTTTAGGGTTTAGGGTTTAGGGTTTAGGGTTCATTGTAGATACGTCTCTTTCTCTGTCTTGCAACCGGTGTTGGAACAATACAGTGTTCCCTGGATAACACGGGCCTATTTGTCCCCTCTCTTTTGAGCTGGATTGACTAGGGAACAGGATAAAGCAGCCGGATTTCTATGAGACTGTTGGCGTATGTCCTCTGGGTTCTTGGCCGGATTATCCCGGGAATCGAATAAAGCAGGTTCGGATTAGGCATCGACTACTGTAAGGTGAAATCAATGCTAGCTCAAAGACTGTGGATAGCAATGGAAATTGTTTAGTTACCAGCTAGCTGCCAATTCAGTTGTCACACAATGAAGGCACAAAGCAACTTCGTGCATTACACGTTGAGAAGCAGTTAATCACATTTGCAAACATTCGCGTGCCTTGCAGTGACATAGACAATGGCCCTGACATCCGAAACAGCGCCGGGCTTTCCAACGCATTATCTACACACATATTTGCGTATGGGTTATGCTACTTATGCAAACTTGGAACACATGTATGGCTTACAAGGCTACATCGTGGTCTACTTTAAATGAAAGCCTTCCCATCTGTATATTTAGCCGTATGGTTACGCGACTGTTTTGCATGTACAATTCCAGGTACACACCTGTGCCACTGATGCATGCAAGCGTTGTGCAGAGTACGAGTCATTCTGTAAAGACTTCATGATCAACCCCGAACGCGCCGTACGCCACTGCCAGACTCCCCTGCTGCTTTCCATTCCTGAGCATACATGCACCAGTCTTCTCGTGCAGAGCTATTTGGATTCTTTTGCTCAGCATTGTGCAATTGCCGGGTGCCACCATGTTGCCCCTAGTCATGACTAGTTTCGGTAAGTTGGGCCCCAAACCGTAAACCCGAAACCCTAAACCCTAAACCCGAGACCGAATTAACCCGCTAATTACAACTTAACACGGCCTTTCACTTCCATTTCTTTTGATGCCTGTGGCCGCAAACGAGCTAATAGGCTAGCAACCACAGAAAGCGTGGATGACCCCGGGGGGGGGGGGGGTGGATGTATACATATACATATATGTGTGTGTGTGCACATATCTATATCGCGTCCCTCTGATATGTATTTCTGTATATGCATACATATATGTATACATACACTTGTGTGTGAGCCCATGTATATGTATATGTATATGTACCCGTGCACTTCCGTAACCTCCTAAACCCTAAACCCTAAGCCCTAAGCCCTAAACCCTAAACCCTAAACCCTAAACCCTAAACCCTAAACCCTAAACCCTAAACCCTAACCCTAAACCCTAAACCCTAAACCCTAAACCCTAAACCCTAAACCCTAAGCCCTAAACCCTAAACCCTAAACCCTAAACCCTAAACCCTAAACCCTAAACCCTAAGCCCTAAACCCTAAACCCTAAACCCTAAACCCAGGTTTGTGTCGCACTGCTGGAGCAACTCCTTCGCAGACCTGGTGGAAAGCCTCTGCCGGCTTGCCACAAGCTTGGCCGAGCCCGGCAGCGCGCAGCTGGTTTGTTGTTAAGGAGGTATTGCGGTTTAGGGTTTAGGGTTTAGGGTTTCGGGTTTAGGGTTTAGGGTTTAAGGTTTAGGGTTTAGGGTTTAGGCTTTAGGCTTTAGGCTTTAGGCTTTGGGTAAAGATATAACTATATATATATATATATATGTTATACATATAGATCTAAGCAAGAAGCATCCTTGTTTCGATGGAGACCTCATTATGGCTCCGAAGCAACAGCGGCCCAGGTATTCAGCATGGCACGAGGTCGCTTGGAAAGCGTTTCGCTTCTATTTTTTACAGCAGTTGAGAGAGCTTTGGTCTGTTTGCGCGAGTAGTGTTTAAGGTTTTGGGTTTTACCCTAAACCCTTTGCCCTAAATCCTAAACCCGAAACCCCAAACCCTACACTTCTTCCCAGGTCTCTTTTTGGATATGCTCCTTTAGCAACAACCAGTGGCAATTGGACGATGAGCTGGGGCGAGGAGACCCCATGCTCTCCTCTTTCAACCAGGCAGGAGCACCCTAAACCCCAAACCCTACACCCTAAACCCTAAACCTTAAGCCCTACACCCTAAACCCTAAACCTTAAGCCTAAACCCTAAACCCTAAACCCGAAACCCCAAACCCAAGCCCCTTGGGCACTCTTAGAGCACCGTAAAGCCCTTCAAGTGCTTAGAGCGCTTAGAGAACCTCAAAAAGCCCTAAAGGTTAGGGTATAGGGTTTAGGGTTTAGGGTTTAGGGTTTAGGGTTTAGGGCTAGGGCTTAGGGTTTAGGGTTCAGCATCTCAAGTCCAAGCATTCACTAGTCAAGAAATTACTCCAGGAAAATACCCACCCGCCCGAAGAACCCCACAACATTAAGAAAATATTTCACTTATGGAACGACCTTGCCCAGTAAAAACATGACCTTGCCCAGTAAAAAATGACCTTGCCCAGTAACAAAATGACCTTGCCCAGTAAAAAATGACCTTGCCCAGTAACAAAAATGACCTTGCCAAGTGAAAGAAAATGACCTTGCCCAGTAAAAAAGACGAGCTTGCCCAGTAAAAAAATGACCTTGCCCAGAAAAAATGACCTTGCCCAGTAAAAAAATGACCTTGCCCAGTAAAGAAAATGACCTTGCCCAGTAAAAAAATGACCTTGCCCAGTAAAAAATGACCTTGCCAAAAAAAAAAATGACCTTGCCCAGTAACTCCTTAACATTTAAATTATATATGAAAGAGAGGTTTAGGGTTTAGGGTTTGCTGTGATAGGGCGTAGACTTTGTGAAGGCGAGGCTTTGGAACAAGCTCGAAAGCTTCGTGAGGCGCGAAGAGCAGCTTTGGCCCGATTGTGGAAGGCTATCTAACACTATTCTCCCACCCCATGCCGTCCGAGGCGGCAAAGCCACCCAAACCTATTCCGTTTAGGGTTTCGGCCTAAACTCAAGCCAACTGCTTACTTTCCATAAAACTTCTTCATTCCGTCATGGTGGTCGCCAGCCTGGTTCACAAAAACAGGCAACCCTAAACAGGCAGGAGTGCAGAGAGGCCCATGCCCAGGTGAAGAAGGCCCACCCAGAGGGCGGAAGGTGAGAGGCAAAAGGGGCCAAAGAAGAGCTGGGCCCAGGGGTCCAGGAAGACCCAGGAGGGCAGAGGGGGCTTGGTTTAAGTACTCATGAAGGGGCCAGTCCTCGTAGGGGGGGCGGCCGACGCCCTGAGTTCAGGGTTTAGGGTTTAGGGTTTGTTAAGCCAAAGACCTCTAAGCCCTCTGAACTGAACACCCTCTGAACCCTACATTCACTCCTCTAAACCCGAATTCCGCTCAACCCAAACTTTCCTCTGCACCTTAATTCCTGTAAACTCCAAAAAACCTTGAACCCGAAACCCTGACCCTAAACCTTCAAGCCTTAACCCTAAACCCTAAACCCTAAACCCTAAACCCTAAACCCTAAACCCCTCTAGACCTCGAACCTCCTTGAGCCAAAAAGGCGCTGCGGAGCCCCACCTGCAGAGGCTCGCGTTCAGCGACATCCCAGCTGTGAACGAAACCGGGGTTTAGGGTTTAGGGTTTAGGGTTTCGGGTTTCGGGTTTCGGGTTTAGGGTTTAGGGTTTAGGGATTCGGGGATTTTGTTTGGGTTTCGGGGATTTTGGGTTTCGGGTTTTTGGGTTTAGGGTTTAGAGGAATCAGTGGCTTGGTGTTTCGGGCTTAGGGTTTAGTGGGATGAGGGGTTTGGGGCTTTAAGTTCGGGTTTCAGTGCTCTGTCCCCCAGGATTTGCCGGATTCCCTAAACCCTAAACCCTAAACCCTAAACCCTAAACCCTAAACCCTAAGGCCCTAATCCCTAAACCCTAAACCCTAAACCCTAAACCCGGAACCCTAAACCCTAGTAGGCACGGCCATGGTGCTGGATGAGAACGCGGAGCCGCTGAGGCGATCCTGGTGTCTCTTTGAGGTTTTCCAAACATGCAACTGGGTTGCTGTTAAAGGGCTTCGGGTTTAGGGTTTAGGGTTTACGGTTTAGGGTTTGTTTAGGGTTGGGGATGGGTTTAGGGTTTAGGGTTTCGGGTTTAGGGTTTAGGGTTTAGGGTTTCCTAAACCCAGGCAAGCTCACCGCGGAGCGGAGTGACTTTGAGGGGCTCCTGATGTGCACTCCGTCAGGTGGGCCCAGGATTTCTGAAGGTGTCGTCGTGTTTCCTGGTGCTTAGGGTTTAGGGTTTAGGGTTTAGGGTGTAGTACTGTTTCTTTCGAAACAGCAATTAGCATCGGCAGATCGTTGTTAAGTCAACAGTTGAGTCTTGTTTGCTTAGCCTAGCCCGTGTGCTAGGTTCGTCTTGGTAGTGGTATGGGTTTCAGTCTGAATCCTACGAAGGGTTCAGGACTCTTGTTCTACCGGGGCTGGAGGGGTTTATGTGGGTACTTACTGCCAGGTGTTTTGCAAAAGGGAGATGCCAGCGTGGACATGGTTGTGGTGCTGGCACGCACCCTGTCCACGATCCGCATGGAGGATGCTACCGCTACAAAGGTTGAGGACCCGATCCGATTCCAGCCCTATAGCCCTAAACCCTAAACTCTATCTAAAGCCCTCAACCCTAAACCCTAAGCCCTAAACCCTAAACCTCTGCTGATCCGTGCCTTGCTCCCCTGCCTCAGGACAAGATCATGATCGACTCTTGCGCTTGGCTCTGGTTTAGCAGAGCCCCCCCTGACCCTAAAGCCCAAACCCTACACCCCAAACCCGAAATCCGAAACCTCCCAAACTCAAAGCACTATATGAGCCTTGGGTAAACCTAAACCCTAAACCCTCAACCCTCAACCCTCAACCCTAAACCCTACACCCTAAACCCTAAACCCTAAACCCTAAACCCTCAACCCTCAACCCTAAACCCTGAACCTCAGGTGTGCAATCCCTTCCGGGTGGCTTTGCATCCGTGAACCGCTTTGTGCACCACTGCATCAAGGCCGCCTTGGACGAGGCCCATGGCTCCTTCGAAGGACATTGGGGTTTAGGGTTTAGGGTTTAGGGTTTAGGGTTTCGGGTTTCGGGTTTCGGGTTTCGGGTTTGGGGGATCGGGTTTAGGGGTTAGGTGGGGTGATCGTGATTCGCGACGCTCTTCTGCAGTTGTGTACATGCTTACAAGAGGCCCCAGTTTCCAGTGGACAATAAGCAATAAGTTTGATATTCACCGAGAATCAACTTCCCATGCACATCCCTAACGCTAAGCCCCAAAACCCTAAACCCTAAACCCTAAACCCTAAACCCTAAACCCTAAACCCTAAACCCTAAACCCTAAACCCTAAACCCTAAACCCTAAACCCTAAACCCTAAACCCTAAACCCTAAACCCTAAACCCTAAACCCTAAACCTAAATCCCCAGGACACTTCGCAGCCTTGGTGAGTGCTCTGGAGGGGAATCTCATGCGACTCGGCAACGAGGTGTTCAAAAGGCTCCAGGTTCTTTGTCCGTGGACTTACGGGGGCTCATGGCTGTCAAGAATGAGCTTGCCCAAGATCGTTAACCCTAAGCCCTGAACCCCAAACCCTAAACCCCAAACCCTAAACCCCAAACCCTAAACCCTAAACCCTAAACCCTAAACCCTAAACCCCCTTCAAGCCCATGAGGCCAGCTCCTTCGCTGTTGGGCCGGCGCTCCGCGTCTCTTCTTCGAGCGGCCAGCATGGCAAAGCCTACTCTATGATGCTCTCAGCGTGGCACGGGGTTTAGGGTTTAGGGTTTAGGGTTTAGGGTTAGGGTGTCGAGTTTCGGGTTTCGGGCTTAGGGTTTAGGGTTTCGGGTTTAGGGTTTAGGGTTTAGGGCTAGGGTGCAAGCACAGGCTAACGACTTGCATGGTTTTCCGTCCTTCCTTGAGGCTCGCAATGTCGCGTGCATGTAAAGAGTGAGCGGCTAACGAGCAGAATTATTTTCCGAGAAGTGCTGCGCGAATTCATCTAGGCCTCTCAGTCCTTCCGTACAGCTTTCCCCTGGCACAAGACCCGTGGAGCCACGTATACAGTACGGGACCGGCAGGCCTAGAGCAACAAAAAGAGCCAAAGATGGGAGGTATGGGAGTTTGTCCCCGTATTCTTGATTCGGACTGAGTTCTGCAAAAAGGCTGGTGGCCTGAAGTCTGAGGAGGCCACCGGAGAGCTCCAAAACCCAGCACTAGCAGCACTGACCTAGGGTTTAGGGTTTGGGTTTAGGAGCACTGGGAGATGTTCCGCATTTCATTGTCCAGAAGTCAATTCGAACCTCGGGCCTTTGCCAATGAAACCCCAAGACCTGAAACAGAAACTGTGCACCCGGGATTCTGCCATCCTCCTCTCAAGGGCTCTGAACTGACAGAATTGCAGTCCACCGTTCAATCAGGAGACACCTATTATATTTATATATATATAGATGTCTAATACACCTATTATATATTTATATTTATATATATATATACATATATAGATGTCTAATCTAGGGTTCATACATACACATATATCCATACTTGTATCTGTATACCATCCCTTAGCACGATCGGGAAGATGGCTGTCCCGTCCCCGCGTTCTCGCGACCAGCAAGGAGAGGGCTCTCGATGGTTTTGGGTTTCGGGTCTAGGGTTGAGGGTTTAGGGTTTAGGGTTTGGGGTTTAGGGTTTCGGGTTTAGGGTTGAGGGTTTTTTGGGTTCAGGAGATGTCCGTAGAGTTTTCGTAGACGTTCGTAGACAAGCCGCGGAGAGATATTGTGTCTTGAGCCGCTTCAGCCAGGACTTCCGACATTGACGAGCTCTGACGATCATTCCCTCGAAGCAGACAAGCCGCTCCATCCTGCCTTGTATCACCTCCTGCCTGGCTTGCTGGATAAGAAGCTTCGACTGAGCAAAGTTCCGCCTTTTACAGCCCAGGCTTCGCTGCTTGGACATGGGCTTCTGGCTGCTCTGCATCAGCGTGCCTTCCACCACGCGATGCCATTCCCGCGATCCGTGCCCTTGTGTGCCCACCGTCCTTAAACAGCACAGCAACAGCCTTGCGCCGCCGCATTACGCGTGCCATGCATGTCTGTCTCACTTTGTTGCGGGGTGAGATGTGGTAAGACCTCCGGCCCGGAAATAGCATGCATAGCAAAGTCTCGGCCGTTCTGAACAGTAGGTTTCTCAGGCTGCGGCCTGCTGAACGCATTTAAGGCGCCAAGCCCGGAGTTTGTGGTCGGGGCACCCAAAGCCTCGCATGAGCCACAACAAGGGAACTGAAAGGGGGAGAGCCAGATGAACCCACAAGTGTTGGGAGGTTCCGCGTTCCTTTTCGCACCAGAGTCTTGGGGAACCAGTCTCGTCGTTTGTTCCACCCTCAGAAGTAGGACAGGAGTACAGGGGTCATGTGCCAGCTTAGCTTGTGCAGACCTGTTGTTCAACCCGAGCTCTACCCTTGATCATTGGGCTCGGGGCATGTACCTGAGCACCGTTTGCACAACCGGCATCGGAGGGCGCGGCACACATACCCTGCAGAGACCAGTCAATCTCAGAATAGGTCTCCCGAGCTGCTTGTGGCTGCAGCCGCTGCGTCCGCCACCCACGCCTAAAAGCAACAATTCCTTGCCCAGCGCCGGGGCGCGGCGACCCTGAGCCTCCGCGCCTTGCCTTGTGCACCACACGCCCGCGATGGCCGCGGCACAGATTCGATGTTGCTATGCCATTGTCCTACTTGGGCTCCGTCGTGAGTGGTTTCTGGCTACCTGCGGCCGCTGGCTGATGTTGGCAGTTGCAGCTGCTGTCCGCTTCAGCCCTTGGGAGCTTCCCTAACGGCTCCCCGCTGTTGGCTGTTGCAGCTGCTGCCTCAGTTCCTGAGAGCTTCCCCAAATACACTGCTTCCACACTGCCTTGCCCAACACTCGGTCTCCGCAACTCGACCTCCGACTTTACGTTCGATGTACCGCACCTTCAGCTCCCAAACCTCGCTTCAGTAGGCGCAGAAGTTGACTTGAGCCTACATGAGCTCTTTGGGAGTTGGCTTGGAGTCCGAGCGCCTCTTGCGCAGTCCGCGCTCTGCTCCTTTGCATGGAGTTGCCGCAGGCTGAACATGAGGGGTGAATAGAGAAAGTCTCAGCCAAGGTCTATGGGGAGCCATGGAGGCCATTGCCGAGGTTGCGGCCTGTCTTCGGGGATTCCATGGTCGCTCTGGTTCTCACTCGCGCTGGGGTGCTGCCCAAAGCCTCGATGCTTCTTTTACCTTGTCTCTGTTTTGCCCACTTCTCGAGACGGTGAATGCTGATGGCAGGCCATCGTTCCTACTGGATGATTTTTGTCTTCTTGTCGCGTTAATGAAATGCCCTGATTCCAATGCTGAGCTGACATCTATCCATAAGGTTGACCGAGCCCCAATGGCTGCCCGTGGCATGTCGTGACATGTCACTACGTGCGCTGCAGGCAGTCCTGCACTGCGAACCAGTACACATTGTGTTGACCCACGGCCCTGCACGCGAGGCATGCGAGCATGCAAGCGTTTGTGATGGACTGGTTTCTTGAGGCCGCCTCTTTCCACATGTAGCCGCAAGGCATTCAATGTTCTTGTTAAGCCCCCTGATCCAGAACGCTGGTGTGTCAGTCCCGTGTCGAACATAAGCACATTGCTGCCCGCAGGGTGACACATACACATTGCGTTGGCCCACGGCCCTGCGCGTGAGGCATGCGAGCATGCAAGCGTTTGTGATGGACTGGTTTCTTGAGGCCGCCTCTTACCACATGTAGCCTCAAGGCACTCAATGTTCTTGTTAAGCCCCCTGATCCAGAACGCTGGGGTGTCAGTCCCGTGTCGAACAAAAGCACACTGCTGCCCAGGGTGACACAAGCGCACCAAACGAGAAGGTGCTCCAAGATCCTCGTTTATACATCATGTTGCCGGCACCGCTGAAGCTCCCTCAGGCAGATCTCAGGAATATTTTGGGGCTGGAACCCTTCCCGATTTGTCGAGCCGCTGTGCTGAGGCAGTTGGATGCACTGTTTTTCTATGCCCGAGAAGCCCGGCGTTCAAGCGGAGCCCACCAGAACCCCTCAACAGATCCCATCGGTAGCCCTCTTTGAAGCTTTGAGCCGACAGGCTCGTCAAAACGTTCCCTACTACTCATGAAGGAGAGCGCGCCACGCAACTCATGTGCACTGCGACGGGCTCATGAGCCCAGACCTTCTGCATACAGTCGGCTCGGAAAAATCTTGCATGGGTGAATGCTGGAAGTCGACATGCACGTGGGATCTTGATTGGGGGTGGTAGGCATTGAAGATCCCATGAGTTCCGTCCACAGCCTGTGCTCTTGCGTGCTCCACTTCCCCGCCTTTCTTCGCAAGACGGCTTCAGAGATGCCCAATGGGCAGAAAGATACGGAACGACATGCCTGTACCATCCATTTCAGACCTCCGGCTGCACCATTCAAGGGCCCAGCTCGGCGAATCAAGCCTCCTTCCTTTTACTTTCCCTTTTTGGGCCTATTCGTTGGACATGAGCTTTCAGATGCTGTTAAATGAATCTCGTAGTTGTTCTGGGTCAGAGGATGTCCCCGTCACTCTGACGAGAGAGTTTGCACAAACTCACAGTAGTAGCAGTGCTCGAATCTGGAGAAGGGCAGCATGCGCCCGTGCAGCCAGCTGGTCAACGACATTTGCCAGGACATGACTGATCAAGCGTTTTGACACTGACGTGCCTGCGTCAGATTCTCGCTGCGTTCAGCGTTTTTGGCACGCTGCGTGGCTAGGATGTCTGGCCTGTAGCAGTGGTATCGTTGTTATAGGTGTATGTCATTCTGCAACAATGCTGATTGCCACAAGGCAAGGCACTTCTCGTCGACACACCTGAATTCGCCAAACCCGGCTCCCTCGACATTTTTGCGTTTCTGGAGGCCACGGTCGCGGCTTGGGTTTCTCGATGCCCTTTATTGTGCCTGCTTGCAGACCATATCCCAGATGCTGGCGATATGCCTATGTGCCCCCCGCCCCGCTTGCTGCAACCTGTTCCGCGGTCAAGGAACCACCAAAACATGCCAGAGCCGTCCTGTGTCTTTCGCTAACGATGTTCTGGGCAGATATTGTAGGTGCGAAGGTTCCCGCGAGTCCGTCTTCAACAAAAACCGACAGCTCCCGAATCTGAAGAAGGGCAGCGTGTGCCCCTGCAGCCAGCTGGTCAACGACATTCGGCAGGACATGACTGATCAAGCGTTTTGACACTGACGTGCCTGCGTCAGATTCTCGCAGCGTTCAGCGTTTTTGGCACGCTGCGTGGCTAGGATGTCTGGCCTGTAGCAGTGCTATCGTTTCAATAGGTGAGAGCCTGGATGCGTCTCACTTTGTGACTTTGCTGATCGCCAGAAGGCAGTACCCAATTCAGCTCTCATCGGCGCGCGTCAGTTCGCCAAACCAGGCTCCTTCGACATTTTCCGTGTCTGGAGTCCCGGGTTCAGCCTCCGGTCAACCATAGAATAAAAGAATCGGCAGTCGGTGTCTGCCAAGCCAGAAACCTTGACCACCTACGCGGGGGTTCGCGCGGGGCTGTGGCTTGTGTAGCCTGCCTACGCGGCCCCCTACGCCTTGCAGAGAGAATGGCGGCGCCAACTTCAAATGATCCCCAGCGCCTCTGCGAACAGCAGGTCCTACAGTTCCTGCCCCTGGTGGTGGAGGCGAATGGGGGCTGGGGACCCGGGGGAGGCGGCTTCCATTGAGATCGACCGGCTCTTCCAAGCTTTGGCTGTCGCCCTCCAGCGAGAGAACGCGCGCGCAGTGTTGAGGCGTGCGCCCGGCAGAGGCGAGCTTGCCGCTGGTCTGGATGGCCCCTGATGGTTCTGGACACCTGAGCCTCGGCAGCAGGGTGCGTGTATGTACAGGCCCTAGAGTTTTTGCGCCGGACCGGCGAGCCCTCATCAATTGCGGGCCGGCTCCTGTTGTGTGGGCCTCGGCCAGCATGCGGCGGCGCCCAGGGGCTTGCGCAGATGCTCCCTGACGTGGTTTTTGCTCCGCGGCTCTTGTCTAGTCTTTCGGTTTTGCGCAGCAGGCGTCGTAGTCGTTCAGGAGCTCAGGGGTCCCGCAATGAAGATTCCCTTCTGACGAAAAGCAAAGTGACCCCCATGCAAGCCTCTGGGTGTTGGTAAGTGCGCTGCAGCTGTGACTGACTCTGCTGACTCCCTCCACGGCCTCAACGGACCGATCTCCATGTGACTTTCCACATGCTGACCGTCGCAGCTCCGGCATCCCTTTGTGTTGGCCAAGCCGTCGCACTTGTTGCAGGTGCCTGACAGTTGGCCTGTAGCATGCCCGCGGCCTACGCGCGCCAGATACGCGTGTTGCAGAAGTTGCAATTGTGCTCACACATGTCCCCCCAACGCTGCAACACATACAGGATCTCTGAGCTAGTCACAAAAAAGGGGGTGGGTCTAGCCATTTTGGGGTTTCAAGAGCGGTGTACCCTCGGCGTCCCCTTTGCAAGAGACTCCCCGTAATTCAACGCTGGGCTGCGCCAGCTCGATAAGGTGTCTGGAGCTACTCTTTGAATCTGCTCCCCAAGTCCACAGCAAATCCAAACCTGCTGAAGACTGCGTTAAATAGCGTCAAGACTGCTACTGCGGGAATGCCCCAAAGCCTTGGGTAGCATGTGTTTGGGGACCATGTTCCCGGCTTGTGAAACCCGTGAAATGGAGGGCGATGCCCTTAAGTTCCAGGCGCAGCGTGAACCAAGTGGACACTGACAGAGTTGAACGCGGCCATCTTAAGCCCATCAGACCCTAAACTAAACTCCCTCAAGCCTCAACCCTGGCTGCAGACAGCGCGGCTCTTCAAAGGGAGCTTGTGCCCTGTCAGAGAGCCGTCGGTCGAAGATGATTTTGGCTTGTGTTTGGAAAAGGCAATCGTGAAGGTACGGTGGTGTGAAGTCCAAAAGTGTTGTGGAGGCGTGGCGCTTGAATGGCGCCGTGCCTTCGGGGAACGGCCTCTGCGTCGACTTCTGCATGCGGGGGTGGGGGGGACTTCGGCGGTCAAGGGGGGGTGACCTCCATGTCAGGGATAGGGCAGGGATAAGGCAAGCGCAAGCTGTTGGGGATGAGGCGCTGCAGTCACCACAGGGCCTCCGAAGGCCTGGAACCGAAGCCTTGAGCCCCCGCTGAGGCCCGGTGGTGTGCCCTTCAATTGGCTGCGTGTTACGTCTGAGTCCTGGTGCTTCTGGACCTGGGCCCACCCTTCTGCTGCACGCCTCTATGTCGCTCAGCTGCCTCTAAGCCCTAAGCCGAAGCTCTTGCTGGCCCCCTCGCATCTTGCCTTGACCTGGCGCGCTAGCCTTGCCGAGGAGAGAAGCGCAGCAAGGTCGCAACGCAGCCAGCCGCTGAGCTAGCCGAAGTATAGCGGTGCACCAAACAGGATGGTCTTGGGGCCGATTGTGTAGCAGTGTAACTCACACTGACTGCGGGTTAGCCCAAGCGCATTCTTCCGGCTCTAAGGAACCACCCTCCGGGGCACATGAAAGCGTTCTTTAAAGTGTCGGCCCATGCCCGTCTGAGTCTGAGCCTTTGCTGGCGTGAGGGCGCCCTGGATGGATTGGATTTCGCTGTTGTAGTCAGCTCATGTCAGCTCAGCGTCCTGGGTCTGACCCTGCCACCTTGACAGCAGGTGGGATGGCGTCTTCTACGGTTAGATCTCGGTTGGCCGGAGCCGAGTAGGTGACTACTCGTACCGTGACGGCTCGCAATACTTGCGATCTGCGAGGTAAGTTGCTGAGCCGCCGCTCATGTGCCGGCCATGTGCGAGTGTGGGATGGGGCAGCGCTGCACAGAGGGTTGAAACATGGGGTCTGACCATTTAATTTCAAGTTGCAGTCGCCATTCATGCGCCGGGCAGCTCGTGGCTCGAGCCACTTGGCTTCAAGAGAGAGCGCCACTTGCTCGAGATGCCGGGCTCATAAAAACGTCGCCTGTTGCACTGCCTTAGCACAGCCGCAGTTCAATCATCGAATGGGCCTGGAATCATTGTCAATCTTCTATCCCGATAAGGCTTCAACGAATGCTGCCCGTAAATTGCAAAGATCCACAAAGCCCGGCAGCTTCGTTCACGTGGCTCTATAGAGGTCTGGGGCTTGCTGTGTGTGGTCTTGTGATCTCTTGTGGCTTTGCATGAAAGAGCACGCGGCACCACGCGCAGGAGGTTGGGACTTGGGAGTCACGTCGCTGCCTTCAGTTGGATTTTGTGTGCCCGTGCCAATCCAGCGAATCCGATCCGTTCACGCAGCCTCGGGCAGTTCTTCAGAGATCTGTGCATTGCAGCCGGTACAGTGAAGCGGGCAAAATAGGTGCTCTCGGCTGCAGTAGTTAAGATGCCCCAACATCAGAAGCCATGCGCGGTCTCACTGTGGGCTTGTGTGTCAAGCGGATAGGCGCGCAGTCAAATCGCACACATGGCAGACACATACCTGAGCCTGCATGAGTCCTTGCGCATTCCCTCAACGTCCGGGATGCTGGCAGGGCGCTTGTTCTTGGGGTTCGAAGGCGGCGGCAGGATCGGCGCTGGCTTGCCTTTCGCAGACTTGGCTGCTAGCCTCCCCGATTCTTTCGGGACGGTCGCCCCCTTGCCCTGATCAGCAAATCGGGCTGCACCTCCTTAAGGCACCTATTCGGCCTCCTGCTCGGCCACCTGTTGGGCTTTGCCAGCTGCCTTGGGCTTGAGTCCACGGATGAGACCTTGTTAAACTTGGTTCTGGTGGGCTGGAGTTTGGGAGGCCGGTGCATCGAGCACGCCGCCGCATACCTGGAGCAGCTCGGCTTCCGGGCCCGGGCGCTCTTGCATCTGGATTACAACACACGCATGCCTGCGCTGCCGCGATCGGTGCTTCAGCTCAGGTCGGTGCACGGCTTTCTCCGTTTCGTAGATGCATGTCAGTTCTTTCGCCTGCAAACATCAGCAGTAGAAGTTCTGGCGAGGTAGGCAAGAATGGCTTGAGAGACTAGACATCCTCGGCGAGTCAAGTCGTCGGAGGTTGTTGTCGTCGGCTTTCCTCACAGCAGCAGGCTGCCGCGAGGCGGAGCACTTGTTCCTGGGAATGGACCACTGCTGGGATTTGTCCTCGAGACTTCGAGACTGCTTTCCCTCTCACCTTTAAGAAGACACCGCCGAAGAAGCCGGAGCCGGAGGCGCTGAGGAGGCGCTCTCAGCATGGGCCCTTTTGCGTCTTCGTTGTGTGCAACCTTGCAAACTCCGAGCAGATTGAGATCTCATGTGGAAGCTTTGAACTGGAGTGCACGGCAGGGGAGCGCTCCCTGCAGTGATGATTGGAATGTGCAGTGACAGCGTCTAAGGGTTTCCACCCTCCTTCGGAGGCTTGTTTCAGTGTTTCACCACGCTGCAATGACAGCCACCGGGAAAAACACGGCCGTGTGCAAAGGCATTGTATGGCTTGGGGCGTAGGTTTAGGATTGAGATGCCCTGAGGAGATCACACAGACACGTACGTACGTGGAAACGCAGAATGAGAATTGTTCAGAGCGCGATGCACACAAGTAAAGGGCTAATTTCGGAAACCAGCACATGTCAAAGGAAACCTCAATTCACTATCAGCTAGGATTTACAAGCCCTAAGCTCAAAAAGCCCCACAAAAAACCCCAAAGCCTCTAAACTCAGCCGCAAACACCTCTAAACCTTTCGCGTTGTGCATCCTGAACATCTGATCTCCTACTCCGGCCTGTCAAAGATCAGAGATCGCTGCTGCAAAGCCCTAAGCCCCGACATCCCCAAAGACCCTTTACCGCGCGGGTCAGGTTTTCGGGTTTAGCCCCACCCTAAACCCTAAACGCTAAACCCTAAACCCTAAATCCTAAACCCTAAAACCTAAACCCTAAACCCTGAACCCTAAACCCTAAATAAACCCTAAACCCTAAACCCTAAACCCTAAACCCTAAACCCTAAACCCTAAACCCTAAACCCTAAACTAAACCCTAACCCTAAACCCTAAACCCTAAACCCTAAATAACCCTAAACCCAAACCCTAAACCCTAAACCCTAAACCCTAAACCCTAAACCCTAAACCCTAAACCCTAAACCCTAAACCCTAAACCCTAAACCCTAAACCCTAAACCCTAAACCCTAAACCCTAAACCCTAAACCCTAAACCCTAAACCCTAGAAAGGACTGTTGTGAGGCGGAGTTGTTGGGTAGTTTTCAGTCATTTAATAAGGTTTAGGGGTTAGTAAACGCTTACAACTTTAAACTTATGGCCTCACAACAGTCCATTCATAAGTGGGAATCTTGACCATGATGTTTGGCATACATGATTTGGGGGGGGGGGGGGGGGGGGGGGAGGGGGCCTTGGAAGTTGGCCCATCTTGGCAGGAATCCCCCCCCCCCTCCCCCCCCCCTCTCAAGCGTAACAGCCGTAGGTTTGGTTTGCTTTCACGTATTTCCAGACCTGTTATTCGGAAGTTCCCTGCTTTCGAAACACAGCCTTTGTTTCGAAACACAGCCCCTGTTTCGAAACATGGATGTCACAGCCACAACTGCTTCACAAAACGATATCCAATCTCACCTTGGTTCCAGCGCTATATCTGAAGGTTGCGATGTCACATGCGCGAGTAAAAGGATATCTGCTCATAGTATTCTCGCGTCCCCGGGGCCTACAGGACATGTCTTGATGATGTGGGTGCTAATAATGTAGGGTTATAAGGTTAAAAATCCTATAGAGTTTAGCGTTATGACCCTAAACCCTATATGCTTTAAGGCTTAAGGAAAACAGTAAAGTGGTTAAATCACTGAGGGACGAGGGTTACGTTTGTGCAATGCCCTAAACCTTAAACTCTAAACCTTTAACCTCTTATAGGGTTTAAACCCTAAAGGGCTAACCCGGTAGGATAGATAAACCCTGACCCGAAAGGGGCCCTATAGGGTTTAAGGCTTAACCTAGTTTGAATGCCCAAACTTAAATTTAAATCCCCAGGACTTAAACCTCTGAAAACCTTATAGGGCTTAAAGGCTTTAATGCCTAAACCTGATGTATTTAAGGTCTGGGCATTTATACATTCAGCATTAGAACCCTAAACCCTTTATACTGTAAGGCTTAAGGAAAACAGTAGGATTTAAGCCTCAAGGCCTATAATGTAAGGTTATAAGGTTCTAATCCTATAGAGTTTAGCGTTATAACCCTAAAGCCTATATGCTTTAATTAAGGCTTAAGGAAAACAGTAAAATGATTAAATCCCTGAGGGTCTAAGGTTACGTTTTTGCAATGCCCTAAACCTTAAACTCTAAACCTTTAACCTCTTACAGGGTTTAAATCCTATAGGGTTAAACCTTTAAAAACCTTATAGGGCTTAAATGTTTTAATGCCTAAACCTGATGTACCTAAGGTGTGGGCATTTATACCTTCAGCGTTATAACCCTAAACCCTATCTGCTGTAAAGCTTAAGGTAAACAGTAGGGTTTAAGTCTCAAGGCCTATAATATGGGGTTGTATCAAAACCCCGCGCAGTCGATTTTGAAAGGAATTGCCCGAAGCGTTTGGGCCGTGCTTCTGACTCGTAAAACGATAATCAAGAAAATAAACCGATAACTTTGTAGTAACAGGGCGGGCAGGCGCTATTCCAGTGATAAGCTTGTACTACAAATACATGAAAACATTGAAAACCCAGCCTGCTCAGCTTGCACTACAAATCAACGGAAACCTAGCCGGTTTCAGTACTAAGCTTGTACAACAAATCAATGAAAACCCAGCCTGCTCAGGGGCACGTCCGTTCCAGTACTAAGCTTGTACTACAAATCAACGAAAACCCAATCGGCTCACGGGAACGTCGGTTCCAGTACTAAGCTTGTACTACAAATCAACGAAAACCCAACCGGCTCACGGGAACGTCGGTTCCAGTACTAAGCTTGTAGGATGAATAGATTTAACTCGGGTTTTTATACAACCCCATATAGGGTTATAAGGTTCTTATCCTATAGGGTTTAGCGTTATAACCCTAAACCCAAACACTATATGCTTTCAGGCTTAAGGAAAACAGTAAAGTGATTAAATCCCTGAGGGTTACGTTTTTGCAATGCCCTAAACCTTAAACTCTAAACCTTTAACCTCTTATAGGGTTTAAACCCTGTAGGGCTGCACTATAGGGTTTGAGGTTTAACCCAGGTTGAATGCCCAAACCTGAATTTAATTCAACCTTTAAAAGCCTTATAAGGCTTAAAGGTTTTAATGTCTAAGCCTGATGCACCTAAGGTCAGGGCATTTATACCGTCGGCGTTATAACCCTAAACCCTCGTACATCTGCTTTGCACTCGCAACAAAATCAACTTCATCCAAAACACTGCATCACATTCAAAAAAACTCCGCCTCACAACAGTCCCCTCTCAAACCCTAAACCCTAAACCCTAAACCCTAAACCCTAAACCCTAAACCCCTAAACCCTAAAGTATGCCACTCAAGCTGTGTCCGGGGAAGTCGTTATAGCAGAAGTATGATGCGGGGTTTAGGGTTTAGGGTTTAAGGTTTAGGGTTTAGGGTTATGATACTAGAATGAGCCCCATATGGGGTTTGCCGAAAATAGGGGGTACCCTTTTGGGGGTCCCTTTAAGCGGATTCGTTTCTGTTTGGGGTATAAAAGGGGTACCCTCATTTGGGAAATGCCCATATGGGGGTTTACGAAATTCAGGGTACCTTATTGGGGTCCTTCTGAGAAGTGAACCTGAGAAGGGACTCCAGCTATTTGGGGGGTCTATATTAGGGGGTTCCTTATTCTTGTAAACCTTCATTAGAGTCCCTTAAAGGAATACACGGGCGAAAGCATTGCCTGGAGGCGCTGCAGTTTTCGAGTTTTGGTAAAACCGCTTGCAGGATGAAGCTTGGATGGGGTAGTATGGCCATCACAATTACAACTGTTATTGTTACGGTTTCTGCATGTCATTGTTATGATTACCCTGAACCCTAAACTCTCAACCCTAAATCCTAAACCCGAAGCCCTCAACATCATTTGTATTAATGATCAAGATTATCTCCCGCGAACCCTAAGTTTGTCTGAGCCAAAAAAGATTGATCAGTAAGAGCCATCAGGGTGCGGTGATTCGGAAGTGTGAGTGAGCTGCACTTGGGGGCTTTACGATGTTTGGGGTATCTTGTTGGGGTCCTTGTTACAGATTCTGCTGTTTGGGGGTCCCTGATTATGGTAAACCCTAAACCCTAAACCCTAAACCCTAAAGCCTAAACCCTAAACCCTAAACCCTAAACCCTAAACCCCCACTTCAGCATATGTCAGCCTTGCATGGATGGCGTGTCCTCATGTTTCTCCCCCGGGGTGTCAACAGCACATCTTATACGTTATGCTTGCGACTGTATTGTTATTGTTATTATTATTATTATTATTATTATTGTGATTATTATTATCATCATATTTTGAGTAGTCCTACGATTACTACTATTGCTAGTATTGTTTGTACTATTTCTACTATTACAATTATTTTTGTTGCTTCTGTTATTTTCTTAGTAGTACTACATAGTACTACTCTTCATAAAATCTTATATTAGTAGTACTATTGTTACCGTTATTGCTACTAGTTGTTGAGGGCTCTGAGGGTAAACCCTTCAAGCAGATCGAGAACAAAATGGGCAAGGAGTCTGCCGCCATGGCCTTCGCTGCTTTCAAGGCGGAGTTGGAGCAGTTGCAGCTGGAGCAACACCTGCAAGAGGAGTTCAGGAAGAGGCGGGACGTGACCGTGCAGAAGCTGCAGAACTCCGCGGAGCAGCTGAGACAGGTCGGGGGCGACCCGAACAAGCTCAGCGCCCAACAGAAAGAAGATTGGCAGGAGCAGGAGGTTCAGAGAGCGAAGCTGGACGCGGAATTCGCTCAAGCCGCGATGGGCCGGAAAGATTTCAATGCTATGTACTATGACCCATTGACGCTGCTCCCGGGAAAGGCCTTCTATGGTAAGCTGCTGGGGATGCTGGAAGGAAGGCCGCTGGCCCTGGTGATGGCGGCCGCACACTTGGATAACTTCGACTTGGTGAAGGACCGCTGGTCCCATGCCCGCGCTGACTACGCCCTCATGCAGGTGGCAGACTGCATGAACGAACACTGCAGGGCATTCAACAGAGAACAATCGAAGGCCGTCTGCGTGCCCTTCCGTGATGGCGGCGACAGGCTTGCGATAGCTTTCATTTGGCACGAGGGGGGGGTTGCATTCCTGAAGGACTTCTTGGAGGCGCTGCGCACGGCCGTCGCTTCTCGCCTGCGAAAGGTCCTCGACTCCAGTTCCCTGGACCCGAAGCCGCACGACCGCAATGGCAAGGAGATCAAGGCCCCAGGTCCGGGCATCAGCATCGCGGCATCAGACATAGAGAGCTGCAGCAAATCGCTTCGGGAGCTCCACCGCCTCTACGTCCAAGCAGAGGAGCATCTGAATGATGCCCAGCCAGAAGTAAGACAGGGAGAAGACCCCCAGGGCGGTGTGCAAGTGCAGGCAGATCGCCCCGCAGGGATCTCGTTTGATTCTCTTCTCGAAGACTTTCAAAACTTTGCAGATCCAGAGGTCCAGGAAAAGGCTGCACGCGAGCTCAGCATTTGCGTCGGAACTGCCGGCGCCATCCCGCTGCTGGTGCGGCTCCTGAGCAGCGGCACGCCTGAGGCTAGGGAAGTGGCCGTGGCAGCGCTCCGGAACCTGGCGGACCATGACGACAACATGATTGCCAACGCAACTGCCGGCGCCATTCTGCTGCTGGTGAAGCTTCTGAGCAGCGGTACGCCTGGGACTCGGAAAGTGGCCGCGCTCGCGCTCGCGAACCTGGCCAAGAACGACGACAACATGATTGCCATCAGAAAAGCCGGAGCCATCCCGCTGCTGGTGCAGCTCCTGAGCAGCGGCACGCCTGCGGCTCAGGCAATGGCCGCCGGAGCACTCGGAAACCTGGCGGTCAATGACGACAACGTGACTGCCATCGCAACTGCCGGCGCCATCCCGCTGCTGGTACAGCTCCTGAGCAGCGGCACTCCTGGGGCTCGGGCATCGGCAGCGGGAGTGCTCCAGAACATGGCGTACAATGACGTCAACAAAGTTGCCATCGCAACTGCCGGCGCCATCCCGCTGCTGGTGCAGCTCCTGAGCGGCGGCACGCCTGCGGGTGGGGAAGCAGCAGCGGGAGCTCTCCGGAACCTGGCGGCCAACAACAACGACAACAAGATTGCCGTCGCAACTGCCGGCGCCATCCCGCTGCTGGTGCAGCTCCTGAGCGGCGGCACGCCTGCGGGTGGGGAAGCAGCAGCGGGAGCTCTCCGGAACCTGGCGGCCAAGAACAAGGACAACAGTATTTCCATCGCAACTGCCGGCGCCATTCCGCTGCTGGTGCAGCTCCTGAGCAGCGGCACTCCTAGGGCTCGGGAAGTGGCCGTGGCAGCGCTCCGGAACATGGCGGACAATGACGATAGCATGATTGCCAACGCAACTGCAGGCGCCATCCCGCTGCTGGTGCAACTCCTGAGCAGCCACACGCCTGTGGCTCAGGAGGCCGCAGGAGCACTCGCGAACCTGGCCTTGGATGACGACAACGTGATTGCCATCAGAAATGCCGGAGCCATTCCGCCGCTGGTGCAGCTCCTGAGCAGCGCCCTTCCTGAGGCCCAGGAGTTGGCCGCGGGAGCACTCCGGAACCTGGCGCTGAATGACGAGAGCAAGATTGCCATCAGAGATGCCGGAGCCATCCACCCGCTCGTGCAGCTGATGAACAGCAGCAGGCCTAAGGCTGAGGAGGAGGCCTATCAAGCACTTCATATTCTGTCCTTCAATCACGACAACATGAGGGCCATCAAGAAGGCCGGAGCCGTCCCTCGGCTTGCAGAGCTCTACCACAAGAGCCAGCACCAGGATTCTTGAAGCAAACGCCTCGACCCACAGGCGGACTACACTTGCCATGCTGTCAGTATCGGCATCGGTCTTTAATTCGACTTAATTAGAGAGTTGGGTTTCCAATGAGCGGAGGAGTATCGCGATCTCGGTGCGGAGAAGACAAAAGGAAGCATTTGGCTGCATCCTCAACCCTAAACCCTAAACCCTTGACCCTAAACCCTAAACCCTAAGCCCTAAACCCGAAACCCTAAGCCCTAAACCCTAAACCCTAAACCCTTAGCCCTAAACCCTGGGGCTGGGGCGGTTTGCGGGGGGTGAGTCCCCCCTCGCAATGTCGTTTTTGACAAGGTCTGCCAGTTGCGGCCTGCTGCAGCCTCTCCTTTCGGCAGGCGAACCCTATAATGCTTAACAATGCTACTAATTATCAGAATACAGTAACAGTAGAATGCTATGACAAGATTGCAGTAGCGGAATGCTATAAAACTAGGAATATTATATCATACAATACCACATTCTTTGTGTTCTTCAGACTTCGTATGAGCCATTCGGCACGCCACTTGGGCAGGTGTCAGCCACGTGCGATGACGTGCGACTTACTGAGCATTTGTCAAGTGAAAATAAAGGATGGTTTGGAGAGCCCTCTGGGCGTTTGAGAGCTTCTTGATAGGGGCTGTAGCCAGGGTTTCCCCCTCCTTTACCCTTCTACTACCCCAAACCCTAAACCCTAAGCCCTAAACCCTAAACCCTAAACCCTAAACCCTAAAATGCGGCGGACGAAAACATGCATTCAAACACTACTGTTGAGAGAGGGTGGGGCTCTCTTGCATCAACAGAACCCTAACTCCCAACCCTCGAAGACCAATGCTCGGCAACCCCTTTCAGAATCATTGAGCATCTCTCCAAAGACGAACCTTAAACCCTAAACCCTAAACCCTAAACCCTAAACCCTAAACCATATCCCTAAACCATATCCCAGCCTGGGGCCGAAACTCTCAACCCACGTAAACTCTGTAAACTCTGAACCTTAAATCTAAACCCTAAACCCTTAACCCTAAACCCTAAACCCTAAACCCTAAACCCTAAACCCTAAACCCTGAACCCCATATTTGGGGAAGATGCAACGCCAGAAGCCCAGTTCCCTTTTGACCTTCGCATAGGAGGCCTATTCAGGGCCATCACATGCGTAGCAGTCAGCCCTAAACCCTAAGCCCTAAGCCCTAAGCCCTAAACCCTAAACCCTAAACCTTAAACCCTAAGCCCGAAGCCCTAAACCCTAAGCCCTAAACCCTAAACCCTAAACCCTAAACCCTAAGCCCTAAACCCTAAACCCTTTACTAAAGCCTAAAGCCTAAACTCAAACTCAAACATTAGCCAGTCCCAAGACTCCGAACTCCATTCCCTGAGCCCTCGTATCCCGAAACCCGAAGACTCACAAGCCTTCACAATTCAAAGTCCTAAACCTTAGACCCTAAACCCTAAACCCTAAACCCTAAACCCTAAACCCTAAACCCTAAACCCTAAACCCTAAATCCTAAACCCTAAACCCTAAGCCCTCAACTCGCGAGTTTCTCTACTCGCAGGAAGCGGAGACCCAATGCCCAACCCCGAAGCCCCTTAAGCCCCAAACCTCAAAGCCCCCTAAGCCTTCAGCTCAAGACCTTACCTAGGGTTTAGGGTTTAGGGTTTAGGGTTTAGGGTTTAGCGTTTAGGGTTTAGGTTTTAGGGTTTGCTCGCGTGCCCTTGCGTTTTAACGTGTTAGCGTGTTAGGGTGTTAGGGCGTTCGCGTGTTGGCGCGTTAGCGTTTAGGGTTTAGCGTTTAGGGTTTTTAGGGTTTAGGCGGTTTAGGGCCCAGTCGCCCTGTACCGCCTTAGCCATGTTGGAGTGATGCTCGGACGGCTCAGACCCCGCAGCAAAAAGCAGGCTCGGGCCTGCAAGCATCGAGATTTAGGGAACGTGTTTGGTCAGAGTTGTGGATCCATCGTCTAGGGTGTTGTTGCGGTCTGTTTTTTTTGGGAATTCCTTTGCTCCATATAGAGGGGCTGAGGGTTTAGGGTTTAAGGCTTGGGGTTTAGGGTGTTGTTTTGGTTCTAGGGATTTCCTTTCCCCCTTCTCAATATTATTTTAGGTTTGCGGGTGTAAAGCATATGGGGCTTAGGGCTTAGAACGTTTAGGAATTGTAGGCTGGCTCAGCGATTAGGGCGCCAGCACAAGCCAAACCCTACAAAAGCCTGATCCCCTAAGCCCTAAGCCCTAAACCCTAAACCCTAAACCCAGCGGTCCCCACTCGTGGCGATGGCAGCGAAATGCACGTGATGCCGGGCAACAGAGGTCCCTCCTTCTGGTGACAAACGCTTGCAGCCCTTTAAAGGCTTTAGGGTTCAGGGTTTAGGGTGTAGGTCTTAAAGAAAGCATGTACAGGGAGAGAGCATTTCCCGCCCCCCCCCCCCCCCCCTAAACCCTAACCCTAAAACCCTAAACCCTAAACCTAAACCCTAAACCCTAAACCCTAAACCCTAAACCCTAAACCCTAAACCCTAAACCCTAAACCCTAAACCCTAAACCCTAAACCCTAAACCCTAAACCCCCAACAAAAAAAACATGAAAAAAAAGTAGTCCCTGAACATTCAGATCACAGCGAGGGGGCCTTGAAGTGAGTTTAGGACTCCCTAAGGGTTTAGGGTTTAGGGTTTGGGGTTTAGGGTTTAGGGTTTAGGGCTTCGGGGTTTAGGGAAGAGGGTTTCGAGCTTCAGGGTGCTGGGTTTGTAGGGGTTGTAGGGCTTCTCAGGGTGTATGATCAAAGACTAACTTGCCCATAACCCTTTAGGGGGTTTAGGGTTTAGGGTTTAGGGTTTAGGTTTCAAGGGGTAAAAGGAGGGACCCCTAGAAGCGAATCTTATTCCCCTATGTTTCCCTTATATATACCTTATCTGGTCCCTATATACCTAAGTAGCCTGTAAGCAACCCCCAAAGAACCCCTCAGGTCCCTTTACAAGGGTCCCTCCTTGCCCTATAGACTTGGTGCTCTTCTATTTCTATGTCTGCGACCTTGCAGGGTTTGTGTAGGTTTCATGGGTTTGGGGTGTCGGGTTCAGAGTGTAGAGTTTAGGAGACTTAGTTTTCTTTTAGGACCCTAACCCCTTTCTCACCTTTCTCATATCGGTGCACGCCTCGGCCTCGGCTAGAAGAGCTGCAGAAGCACAAGCATTTGACATGTGTGTGACCACCGGCCGGCGTGACAAAAACAGTGGGGTCAAGAAGGTGCAACCACTACAACGTCCTTTGCTCAAGCATCGCCCCATTGCCCGCCCGATTGGCAGAACCGAAGCAGCGGAAGCCCACGCGGAGAGGTGTGCAGGAAGCCAAGATATGCGACTCACCGCTATTGGAGGGGAAAACGCATGGATTCCTGCCGCTGAGCATGTGGGAGGCCGACCCCGAGGAAGACGGAGAAAGCATCCCAAAGCAGCACCACCCACCGGCCCAGACAGAGCTCTCATCCATTTCAGGAATCCAGCCGTAGCAGGGGCAACCATGGTGCACCTACCTGCCCAGCTGTCAGCTAGCGCAGCTGGGAGGAGCTCGGGCCACAGTGGCTAAACCCTAAACTGTACACCCTAAACCCCAAACCACAAACCCTAAACCCCAAACCCCAAACGCCAAACCACAAACCCCAAACCCCAAACCCTAAACCCTAAACCCGAAACCCTAAACCCTAAACCCTACACCCTAAACCCTAAACCTCTCTTTCATATATAGTTTAAATGTTGGGGAGTTACTGGGCAAGGTCGCCGTTTTACTGGGCAAGGTCGCCGTTTTGCTGGGCAAGGTCAGTTGGGTCAAAAAAATAGGCAAGGTCGCCGTTTTACTGGGCAAGGTCGCCGTTTTACTGGGCAAGGTCGCCGTGTTACTGGGCAAGGTGGTTTTAGGGTTCAGGGCCTACTCTGGGCTGGCTTTAGGGTTCAGGCCCCACTCTGGGCTGGCTCTTTAGGGTTCGGGGCCTAGTCTGGTCTGGGCTGGCTTTAGGGTTCAGGGCCGACTCGGGGCTGGCTTTAGGGTTCAGGGCCTACTCTGGCTTTAGGGTTTAGGATCTAGGCTGGGTTTAGGGTTCAGAGGGGTTCAAGCCCCGCTCTTTTCTGGGTTGGCTTTAGGGTTGTTGTCTTGTCGCCTGAATTCATAAATGTGAAATATTTTCTTAATGTTATGGGATTCTTTGGGCGGGTGGGTATTTTTCCAACGCTCGATGAAGTGCTTGACTAGTGAATGCTTAGACTTGAGATGCTGAACCTAAACCCTAAACCCTAAACCCTAAACCCTAAACCCTAAACCCTAAACCCTAAACCCTAAACCCTAAACCCCTAAAGCAGAAGGTGGCCCCCTTGGCTACCAGCCGGCAGACGCGGCCGGCCGCTTTGCGGCGCAGCCGCAGGCGCCAACCTCCTAGCTTTCTAAGACTTTACTAGCCACCTTCTGCTTTAGGGGTGTAGGGTTTAGGGCTTAGGGTTTAGGGTTTGAGGTTTAGGGTTTAGGGTTTAGGGTTTAGGGTTTAGGGTTTAGGGTTTGTGGCTTGGGGTTTGGGGTTTGAGCTTCACGACGAATCAGGCTTAGGGGTCTTAGGGTTTAAGGTTTCGGGTTTACGACGAAGGGGTCAAAGCTGTTTGCAGAGCCTGTGTGAGTCCTGATCGTCGCCATGCAGAATCTTTCTGAAGCCTAAGTCCAACATCCCCGCGGGCGTATCTGAGCAAACTCAAGTCCTTGAACCCCTAAACCCTAAACCCTAAACCCTAAACCCTAAACCCTAAACCCTAAACCCTAAACCCTAAACCCTAAACCCTAAACCCTAAACCCTAAACCCTAAACCCTAAACCCTAGACCCTAAACCCTAAACCCCACTTTCAACACTCAAAGCTCTCTTTTGAGAGGGGCCTTCAGGCTTCAAACCCCCCAAACCCTGAACCCCTAAACCCTAAACCCCAAACCCTAAACCCTAAACCCTAAACCCTAAACCTTGAACCCTGATCCCTAAACCCTAAACCCTACAGAGGCTGCGCAGGCACCAGTCGGCTCCCAGGAAGTCTTCGATTTTGAGGAGCTAGAGACGGACCGGGGTGGTTTAGGGTTTAGGGTTTAGGGTTTAGGGTTAAGGGTTAAGGGTTTAGGGTTTAGGGTTACCCTCAGGGTCTCTCAGGGTCTTCAAAATCTTCAGGTCCCAGGGTCGCAGTGTCTCAGGGTTAAGCTTTAGGCCTAGGGTTCCGCGGTCTGGGAGTCCAAACCCTATGTACCCCAAACTCAAAAACCCCCACAGCCAACAAGCCCAAAGCCGACAGCCACGTGATCCGACTGAAAGCTGCAACGCCGAGACCCACAAAACCCGCGAACTCCCAAACCCCCGAGTTCCCAAACGCCCAAACCTTGAAACCCCCCAACACCCAAACCGCCAACCCCCCAAAATCCCCCAAAACCCCCAAAACCCCCAAAAGCTCCAAAGCTCCAAAGCTCCAAAGCTCCAAAACACCAAAACCCCAAAACCCCAAAACCCCAAAACCCCAAAACCCCAAAACCCCAAACCCCCAAAGCCCCAAAGCCCCAAAGCCCCAAAGCCCCAAAGCCCCAAAGCCCCAAAGCCCCAAAAACCCAAAACCCCAAAACCCCAAAACCCCAAAACCCCAAAACCCCAAAACCCCAAAACCCCAAAACCCCAAAACCCCAAAACCCAAACACCATCGACTCAAGACCCCGAACCCTGATCACTGGATGAAAAGCGCGAGGACCCCAGCGAGCGCCGGCCCGGAGGCAATTTGGCCAAGCGGCTGTGGTCCGCATCCCCAGAGGCGAGTGATTTTCAGTAAGATCGGGGTCCCGACTAAACCGACTGAATCGACTCGGCCGACTTCACCTACGCAACCTACTGAATCTACAAAACCCACGAAACCTCCTAAACCCACTATACCCCCAACCCCAAACCCTAAGCCCCAAAACAGTGTTTCGATCGCATTGACTCTCTAAGTCCGCGTCACCCCAAACCCTAAACCCTAAACCCTAAACCCTAAACCCTAAACCCTAAACCCTAAACCCTAAACCCTAAACCCTAAACCCTAAACCCTAAACCCTAAACCCCAAGCCCCAAGCCCAAGGCCCTGGACGCTGGTTATTGCCGCAGGCGCCCAAACCCCAAACCCCAAACCCTAAACCCAAAACCCTAAACCCCAAACCCCAAACCCTAAACCCAAACCCTAAACACCCTAAACCCCAAACCCTAAACACCCTAAACCCTAAACCCCAAACCTGTGGTGCCAGGGGCTACCGGCTCGGGGTCCGCGGAGTCGGGTTTGCGGCTTCTGGTGTTGCCCAGAGAAAGTGCGACCCTAAAGCCAAAATCCCTATCCCTAACTCCGCACCCCTAACCCTAAACCCTAAACCCTAAACCCTAAGCCCTCAACCCTAAACCCTAAACCGCAGGTGCGACAGTGGAAGTGGGTCTCCGTGGGCTTGGTCTTTCTGGCCGCAGCTCGGCGGGTGGGTTTAGGGTTTGGGGTTTGGGGTTTGGGGTCTCGGGTTGGGGGGGTTTAGGGTGAGGGTGCGTGGAGTGTACGGTTTAGGGGTTGAACCGCCAAGCATGTGAGGCTCAAAGGCATAAACCCTGAACCCTAGACCCTAAGCCGCAGTCCCCAAACCCTAAGCCCCAAACCCTAAACCCTAAGCCCCTAATTTTGAACCCCTCCCCCCGAAGCCCCCTTTCTACCCTGAGGCCTTCTTGCTACAGAGTTTGTCGCTCTACTTCGCCTCCTGGCGGTACCGTTGGCCTCAGTTCTGCATGCGGGTTTCCCTTAACCCTAAACCCGAAACCCTAAACCCTAGACCCTAAACCCTAAACCCCTAAACCCTAAACCCAAAACCCTAAACCCAAAAACTCTAAACCCTGAGGATGTGTGGGGCTTTAGGAGCTTCGGTGGTTCAAGTCCTTTGGCCCACCGCTCAAGTGCAAGCCCCCATTTCCCCAACCCCGAGGCCTGCCGCCTCGCCCTGAAAAATGACCCGATAAGCCCTACATAAAACTCACCACCCTAAAAATCCTGTAGACCCTAAGAATGATCCTATAAGCCTTACAGAAACCCTTACACACCCTGTAAATCCTGTAGATCTTATAGGCCCAAGCGTTCCCACTCACGAGCTAGCGGCGCGCGGGGTTCCGAATACCCTTCACCGAGCCCAGAAAGTGCCCCCGAAACGTTCTGAAGGAAGTGTCCAGAAGTGTCCGGGACACTTCCATACGCTTCGGGTGTTCCGGCCGATTTAGAGGGGGTCTAGGAGGCAGCTGGGGGGGCTACGAAATGTGTCCTAGAGTGTCCAAAAATGTCCGGATGCGTCCCGCCCTTGCCACCCTTGCAGAGGAATCATGTGCACTGTATCGTTCGTGTTATGTTAGGGGTGATTACAGGATCTCCGCGCAGAGAGCGAAAGCGGGCACCATTAGTGAGCGTGCCCCCGCGCCGTTCCTGAGCTTCTGCGCCATTAGCGGCAGGTCTCCTGACCAAAAAGGCCCTACAAAGGCCTGCAAAACTCTAACTCTAACGCTAGGCCCTCGAAGCCCCAGAAACCATATAAATTCCTAAACCCAAAACCCAAAACCCAAAACCCAAAACCCAAAACCCTAAACCCTAAACCCTAAACCTTAAACCCTGAACCCTGAACCCTGAACCCAATCAATTCAAGGCGACCCGCCGCTACGTGAGGTGGGTTGCCGGCCTTGGAGCCTCCCTGCGGCAGTTGCCTCCAGGGGCTCGGGTTTGGGGTTGTTTTGAAAGGCTTAGGCACCGTTCAGGGCTTAGGGTTTAGGGTTTAGGGTTTAGGGTTTAGGGTTTAGGGTTTAGGGTTTAGGGCTTAGGGTTTAGGGTTTAGGGTTCGGGTTTAAGGTTTAGGGAATTTTTGGGGGTTTTGAAAGGCTTAGGGCGAGGCCTAGACTTTACGGTTCAGGGCCTAACAGGGCGGCCTCAGCCTTTAGCTTAGGGCTTAGGGCTTAGGGTTTAGGGTTGAGCCCCAAACAAAGGAAGCTCCCCAAACTGCACCCCAAGCCCTAAACCCTAAACCCTAAACCCTAAACCCTAAACCCTAAACCCTAAACCCTAAACCCTAAACCCTAAACCCTAAACCCTAAACCCTCAACCCTAAACCCTAAACCCTTAACCCTAAACCACAAACTGCAAGTTACCCAAGGAGAAGGCCCGAGCGCAGCATGCTGCGAACTTCGGGGAGCGCTCCCAGCGGGTCCCGCTGGACCTGCTGGCCATGAGGCCCTGAAGGTTTAGGGTTTAGGGTTTAGGGTTTAGGGTTAGGGTTAGGGTTTAGGGTTTAGGGTTTAGGGTTTAGGGTTTAGGGTTTAGGGTTTAGGGTTTAGGGTTTAGGGTTTAGGGTTTAGGGTTTAGGGTTTAGGTCTAGATTTGCGTGTTTTGCTTGTTTTTTGCGTGTTCTTTTCGTGTATGTGTGAAGCAGCCGAGCACATGGTCAAAAATCCACACACTCGCATGTTCAGTGGGGTTTAAGTTTGAGGGTCCTTTTGCGAACCTTGAGGGCCCAACTGGGATGCGTAGGAGTCGTACTTAAAGGTTCATGGTACTTACTAACCAATTACAACTGGGCTTATAACCCTACTTATAATTGGGATAACCCCTATAAGGCCCCTTAGGGGTATTATAAGTAGGGTTACAAGTACAGTCATAGTTGGTTAGTAAGTACCATGAACCTCCAAGTAGGAGTCGTAGGATGCCAACACAGGCTCCTACAGCCCCGAGACACAGTTGGGGAGATGCTGAACGTCGGCGACGGCGTCGCCGCCTCGGCATTCTTCAGAAGGTTCTGGCTTCAGACCACCTGGGGGTTTCCGAAAATAGGGCCCTGTTTGGGGTTCCTATAATACCCTAAACCCTAAACCCTCAACCCTCAACCCTAACCCTAAACCCTAAACCCTAAACCCCAAACCCTAAACGGTTATATTCAGGATACCCCTCTTTGGGGAAATGCCCGCCTCCCAGAAGACTTTCCAGAGACTATTCTTCGAACCCCGAAGCCCACCATTCAGAGCCTTCAACATCCACAAGCCCTGTTTCATAGGGCCTTTCCTTGGGGGCTCCGAGAAGCAGGATGATGCTAAATTGGGGTAATTATACCCCAGGGTTTAGGGTTTAGGGTTCAGGGTTTAGGGTTTAGTTTAGGGTTTAGTTTAGGGTTTAGGGTTTAGGGTTTAGGGTTTAGGGTTTAGGGTTTAGGGTTTAGGGTTTAGGGTTTAGGGTTTAGGGTACCCTAAACCCTAAACCCTATTTGGGCAAGTAGCGTCCTCCTTGTCAACAACCACAAGCCCTACTTCTGAGCCCGTCGAACCCCTTCTGATTGAACGCCGAGATCGCTCCAGATGCATACCCTAAATAAGCAACCCTCAACCCTCAACCCTCAACACTAAGCCCTAAACCCTAAACCCTCAACCCTCAACCCTCAACTCTCAACCCTCAACCCTCAACCCTCAACCCCCAACCCTCAACCCTCAACCCTCAACCCGCAACCCTCAACCCTCAACCCTAAACCCTGTCCCTTTTGGGGGTTACGCTTAGAAGGCGGTGGCCCCTGTCACTTAGGATGCCTCAAAGGAACCTTGATTTTGAGAACTGACCAAGTGGCCTAAACCCGAAAAACCCCAAAACCCCAAAGCCCTACAACCCCAAAACCCTAAACCCTACAACCCCTACAACCCCAAATCTCTAAAACCCTAAAACCCTAAAACTTTAAAATCCTGAAGCCCAAAAACCCTAACACCCTTAAACCCTAAATCCTAAACCATTGTGAACTGGAGGTTTCAAAGCTGCCTTTTGACATCCTGCTGTCTTTGCCGCAAGGATGCAAGAGACAAACCTTCCCTAAACTCTAAGCCCCAAACCCCAAACCCCAAACCCCCAACCCCAAACCCCAAACCCCCAACCCCAAACCCCAAACCCCAAACCCTAAACCCTATTCCCTCAACCCTAAACCCCAAACCCCAAACCCTCAACCCTAATCTCTAAACCCTAAACCCCGCAGCCCATTTTTTGGGCAGTTGCGATTTGAGGGGGCCTCGATGACGCGCGCAGAATCTCTGAACCTGAGCCCCAAGAGCGTCCCCGGGTTGAAGTGGCCCACCCACCTTTCAGATGAAAAGCTAGGGTTTAGGGTTTAGGGTTTAGGGTTTAGGGTTTAGGGTTTAGGGTTTAGGGCCGTTTAGGGTTTCGGGTTTGGGGTTTTTGGGTTTAGGGGTACTAGGAGCCAGGGGAGGCCCCCATTGCTTTTTTTTGAGGGTTTAGAGAACCCCTTAACATCAAAGACGGTGCCCTCTTTATTCCTTGGTTGCCCCTGGGCCTAGAAAGAGAGAGAGTTCAGGGCCCAGGGTTTGTTTTTGGGTTTCGGCTTGCTTGCAGGCTACCCCTCGTGTGGCTGGCCGCCGTGGTCCAGGCGCGCTGGGGGCCCACCCCTTAGGGTTTAGGGTTTAGGGTTTAGGGTTTAGGGTTTAGGGTTTAGGGTTTAGGGGGTACGAGGGCTAAGTGTTTAGGGTGTCGGGCGTCGAGCTCATGACCCTCAATGCTGACACCCCAACCCTTGCAAAGCCTGATCTACGTCACGACCCAAGACAGCTCCGAATGTACCAACCCCCATCATGTGTGGTGAGGGTTTAGGCCCCTAAACCCTAAACCCTAAACCCTAAACCCTAAACCCTAAACCCTAAACCCTAAACCCTAAACCCTAAACCCTAAACCCTAAACCCTAAACCCTAAACCTAACCCTAAACCCTAAACCCTAAACCCTAAACCCTAAACCCTAAACCCTAAAC